ATGTTTACACACTGTTTGTCTGTATGTATTGTCATTATATCTAAAAACCTAAAAACAACAATTCTCAAATAACTTGTACATCAAATATTGCAGTGTCTCTAGAGAAACGAGTGCTTGTTGTAATTTATAACTTCCATACTTATGTTGGTTTGGCTAGCATAGTCTCGTTCAATATTACAACAAACGTTCAGTGCTAATATGAGCTGCTATAGTTAGAAACATAAGCTAACCAACAGTACAGTACTCATTATGCATTCTGCAGTGGGCATTGTTCTCTGGAGACTTCACAGTTCGATGGGTGCACGAGACATGGCATTCATTTCGTGCATCATTTATAAATTATCAAGCATGTCATGATATAATCTACACATAACATAATCTGTAAATCATTTGTATATATTAATTTTTTTAGGAATGACACTGTGCATGTTGTAAATTAATCAAATCATAGTTACATACATTTCAATAGATTCGTTTTTTTGTAATGGTATCAGTTTTTGTTTAAATATATTAAATATTTTATTTTAGTAGTGTAAAGTTTCCACTGTAGCAGCAACAGGTATCTGAGGTGTTTACGTTACCAGGGTAACGCTCAAAGATAGTGATGTCTGTGTATTTGGCGTTGCAGGGTCTGAATGGAGGTCTTATAGCAAGGGAAGTTCCTTTAATCGACAGGGAGCAGGAAGTGCCTCTTTCTGTACACTGTGTATTCAGACAGTTTTAGGTCTGTCCGCTGAAAGTTGATGTTTCAAATCATCAGCAGAGAATTTCCAGTTTAATCACTACACGATAACAGAGTAGCATAGGCTGGCAACCTTTACAGCTCTCAAAATGTTCAAGCTACATTACAAATTACTTTTGAACCTGACGCTGGTAAAACCTCCTCTACTGCGGTCCAGTGTGATTAACTCTTTAGCTGTAAGCAGCAGGAACCACAAACACAACCCCCCTTACACACAGACGAGAGGTTAAAAAAGAGAGAGACACACCAGGTCAATAACTTTTGGTTGAATAAACACAAACCATCCAAATTGACTATCCCTCCGATCTGTTATATAATCTACACCAGCATATCCTTTAGGATCAAGGGGGGCTGTGTCCGATCCCAGCTGAGACAAAGAGACAAACAACCATTCACACCTGCATGTCTTTGGACCCGGGAAAAAACCCACGGAGAGAACATGCACACTCCACGAAGAAAGGCCCAAACCAGCCGGCAGCTTCAAACCTAGAACCATCACCACTGCACCGCCGTGTCGATTTCATTTTCCCTGCCTTATTGTATAAACAACGATCAGCCATAACATTAGGACCACCTGCTGGTCATAATGTAGGCCTCCCGTTTGCCACCAAAACAAGACCCATTGAGGCATGGACTCTGTTCTGAAACCTTTCTATCAGAACCAGCATCAACTTTTTCCTTCCTTGGACCACTTCTGATAGATACTGACCCCTGCAGACCGTCTAGCCATCACAGTTTGGCCTTTGTCAAAGCCGCTGAAATCGCTTGGCCTTTTTTTCCTGCTTCTAGCACATAAACTATGAGGACACAATGTTCACCTGCTACCTGATATATCCTACCTACAAACAGGTGCCATGGTAACGAGATAATTAGTGTTATTCACTTCACCTGTCAGTGGTCATGTTTTGACTGATCAGTGTATCTATACATGAAGTTATATTATTTTATCTTAGTTTGTTTGGCATTATTAACTTGTCTTATCTTACAGTATTTCATCTTCCATTATCTTTTGTTTAAGGGGCGGTCAGGATGATTGACACCCCTCCTCTCTCTCAGTACATTACCGCCTGTGATAAGCTGCCATGTCAGACCCTGATTCTGGCTGACAGCAGTTCATGGCGTGTCCCTGCTGGTCCCAGAATAGGTCTCTCTGTCACGGATCCAGCAGCTGTTAGCAGCACATAGCACCCGGTTACTATTCTGAAGTCTGGACGTTAACGAGGACAGCGCCTCCATCTAACACTGCCTGCTGAATGTATATCTATCTGCTGGCCGTACATGAAGACGAGTGTTTATCTCTCATTTATTGTCATCCAACAATAGCAGCGTTTTCAAAACAAGTTTTGGGGGAGAGTTACAGCGTAATGTGATGGCCTGGATGCTTTTTCAGAAGAAAAGTTTTTGGGAAAACTGAAGCAAAATGTAATTTACATTTGGAAATTTAAAGGTTTCATGCATGAACTATATTCTGAAAAACACTAGGTCCAGTATATTGTTCTTCCGGTCACTGTGAAACTAAATTTACCTTAAAATTCTTCTAGTTTACCCACTGATAATGATGTAGCTTAACTAAGGTAAAGAGATTTTAGGGGGATAAGTAAAGGACAAATGAATAGATTGCAATAAATAAATATTTTTTATGGATTATCTGTGCAGTTTATGTAAAAAATCTCTTAAAATTAACCAAATATAAGATCCTAATGGGTTTTTACCCATCTTAAATCCTGGAGATAATCCATTAAAAAAACCTTAATGTATCATAATCTATTAATTAATCCAATAATTACCCTAAATTTGCGGTGAAGCCCTTTTAAGGCACACATTAAGGGTAACCTGTGATGTAATTTTGTAAATTGTAAGCAGTGCCCATTAAAACATACTTAATCTATGCAGAAAATCCATTGATATGTTTTTAGTTTAGTATTTTAAAGGACTGTTTTTGTATAGCCAGTAGTAAGTGTGCCAGGACTGTACAACTCAATAAATCCTTGCAATGAGCAAATCATTCCCTTAGATTATGGCCCCAGTGTGTTTACTTTACAAATTTAATTTGATTATTTTGCTCTCTCAAGTCACAAAAGGTGTTTTCTGAATTTTAATTTGTTCCCTTTGATTAAACCCTTGCCCCAAATTATTCCTTTGGCCATACACTTGTGTGAGAACATCTGATTATTTGATTAAACATCCATTTGTTGCAGGATATGAACCATGAGAGCAAAATAAGTCATGACACAGGGCCTCTTTGCAAGACAAGGCCTCAGGATTGAGAAACAGTGAAGAAGTTCACCTCACAATTTGAGTTTTTAAAAGGCTCAAACTAATTTGTAATTAATCTAATTGCTACAGATTAATCATCATGTAGCAGAAACAGTTCACGCCTGACACCACCCCACACTCTCACTGTTTCTGACTGAGGCTTCAGATCGTGACGCTCTTTTCCTCTTGTCTGACCAAAGCTGCACTCATTCAGCCTGCAGCGGTGTGCAGAGAGTCTTTGATCACCGTTAAAAGTCCTCTCGAGTTCAGAGAAACGTCTTTTTCTGTCATCTGACCAGCTGCTTCCACAGAAAATCCCACAGCACTCCAATTTAATACCATTATGAAGTCTGTCTATCTCTTTAACGAGTGCAAGTATTCTCCCTCTCTTTGCACGTATTATGTGTCTATTTGGAGATAAGACCCCTCGTTTGGCTTATTTTTTTTAATAGATGAATCAATAGGAAGATTTGTTCATGCAAATTGTGTTGTGCAGTGGCGTGTTTCAGGTCACCAATAAGACTCTAAAGTGAATCATCTTGTTTTCACCATTTTCTGTAAACAGCCTGTGTGTTCAGAGTCGAGGGCTCTTTAGTGTTGAACTTAACCCACCTTTCGATTCCTCACATCCCTGCGCGCGCTCTCTCTGCGTCCACTGCTAAATGAATTAAGTCAGAGTTCATTTGAGTTAAGATCTGGCTGCTTGGCACAGTTTGTCCCGCCTGAGGGAATGAATCTACTTCATTTATGATACTTAACTTAATTATGCTCCAGTTCCTCGTAAACGGAAACCTGGACCTTGGATTTGATAATCCAGAGTGCAGCAGCACTCCCTCGACAACCACTGACTGCTGTGTATTGACTGAAATCACCAGAATCTTATTTTTAAACCGTCCCCACTGTTAAAGGCCTTAAAATACTATTTTGTCAACCAGGATGGCTTCCAGATAAAACACTAAAATTTTCTGCAGTGTAAGAAGTTGAAGTGGGCGGGGCTCAGCTGGACAATGGTTGTTTTATTATCTGCTTATGCTGCCACGCAACCGTCAATCAAATCTGATCAGACCACTCCCACAGTCCTGAGACTTTTCTGACTGTAAAGCTCTTCATGAACCAAAACTTTGCCATTGATTGTTGCACTTTTTTAATCAAGAATAGCACAAGATTTGAAACCAAATTGAAAATTGAACAACAACATTTGGGCCTGATGAGACACTTATTATCAATTAATCCAGTGGTTCCCAACATTTTTAGTTTGTTACCCTTTAAAATGTCCTGTTTACAGATTGCACATGGCCAGTTAAATCTTTATACTTTATTATATCTTTATTCACGCCCGAAGATGTGAAAGTATCCAGTCATTTACAAGCAAAAACATTTTTTAAAAATCAATTCTTTTTGTTATTTTGTGCAGCAGCAACGTGTTTCTCTGCATTTCCATCCAAATTATCACCTCACGATCTCTCAGATTTTTGTCCAAAGAATAAAACAAGTAATTTATAAAGAAAAAAATCGTTCACCAATCTCAAGTTTGTTAACTTGGCCTTGGCTATTTTTAACTAACTACTGTATATCACTAGACTGCCTTTGTTTGTTCAACTGTATATTAGTTTATTGGTTTTTTAAATATTTACTCATGATTTTCTTCTTTATTGTGCTGTGTTTGCCCAAGAAATGTTGCTGTCCACTTACTTTATTTCATTGTGAGTGTAACTGTGTCCGTATGCCTTCTTGTGTGATCCATGGGGAATAAAGCAAAGTCTAAAAAAGTTTGACAGCAAATTCTCACACATTAGACACTGAAATGAATTTTTACTTCATGAATGACTTAAACGATTAATCGTGCTGCGATTGACCGACTGATTGAATAATTGATTCAGCACAAAAAAAGATTGTTGATCGTACAATCAGTCTCAGTATTGAGGGAAATGTTCAACCTCTGTGATTTAGAAACCCAGAAACATTTTCAACATACAACGCTTTCATCCGAACGCCAGCTTACCTGATAGATAACGACGCGGAACTTGTTGCGTGTGAGCAGCTCATCCTGTGTGGATTCCACCTTCTTGACGCGAGTGTTTTGTTTCTCGACCCGCGTCCGGACCTCCTTGACGTTGGCGCTGACCTTGCGGGTCTTCTGCAGGAGCTTCTCCACCGTGCCGCTGGTGTCGGTGTGGTCCTTGGCCAGTTTCAGGACGTCACCCTGGATGATCTTGATGTTGTTCTCCAGCTCCATCTGGCGCTCCTCCATGCGCTGCTGGCCGGACTGGACGTTGTCGATGATTCCCGCCACGCGCTCCAGCAGAGACAGGATGGTCAGGGCACTGATGGGGTTCCCGGCCTCGTCCTCCACCCCGATGATCTCCAGCTTCTCCTGGACGCCCGCCGTGCGATACTTGTGCTGATCCATTGCAGTGTTTCGGTGACTAAGGAAGATCTCTCACTTTAAATTTGTTTAAAACTTGCTTTAAATTTGCAGGTGCGTGCTTTGGTTTGGGGAAGGGGACCAGGACCGGAGAGTGGCAACACCCAACCGCTGTGACCCAAACTCAGGTCTGGGGACAGGAGAGAGGGGAAACTCCACCTACCCCTTTTAAAAAAGGCCTCATGATCCAAGGGGAACCTGAATTCAGCCCTCATCGGGATGTGGGCCAGGCGGTAAACTCAGAGGGGAGCGGCATTGCTCACACGAACCCCCCACAGCTAAAAATAAAAACTCTTTGTAAGGCGACACTCTGACATTTTGGGAAGATGCAAAGCAGTGGATGACGGAAATCCCCGTCCAAGTCCTGCTCTGCTTCATTAGAGCCACACAGACTGATTCATAATTTTCCGTTATTTGCACATGTGTTCATGCTAGCAGCTGCGAAATATGTACATCAACAGCAGCTCAGGAGTCATCGTGCAGCTCTGCACTTAAAGATGCAGAGAAGCCACAGTTGTCTGGTCTGATTACACAGCGCTGGAATGTTTTTGGGGATTAAACGTTGCAGCGCTGCCCTTTTTACTTTCCCCTGGGCAGCAGAGTCCAACATTGACTCTGACTGAGATCTGAAGCTCTTTATAGAGACGATGCAGGGAGTGTCAGAGTGGCACTATTTTAACACTCACTCCTCTGAACAGCCAGAGAAGAAGGATTTATTTATTCTGAGCATTACTTATGTGCAAAGTTTACAGTGCATGTGTGAGTTGATGAGCTGTATTCATGGCAGTGATTCATTCTTGGTCTTTAGCTCAGTTTGACAAAGTCATGTTTTGCCATCCGTTAATAGTCTGTGTTAAAAAATATTTGTTGTCCATGAATACACACGTGAATGTGTTAAAACTAACAGGCATACACTAACAGCCGGCCCCCTTAATGCTGCAAGGATTCGTGACTTGCTCCCACGCAGTCATGGGTCAGCCTCAAAGAGGGCAAAGGGAGCCTGCAGGTGTAATCAGAGAGCACAAAGTGCAGCAAAACAACGCTTTGACAACAAGAAAAAACATAAGGCATATTTTGTTATTTGTGTTAGAATGACTGCCCGGATAGATTTTGTTGTTTGTGTTTATTTGCTCCCAAACAGCCAGTGGACAGACTGTTTTCTTCCAGCCTGTCGATCCCATTTTTAAAAATCATCTGCACGTTTACATTGATCGGTTATAACATTATGACCACTGACAGGTGAAGTGAATAACACTAATTATCTCTTGCAGTGGGTGGGATATGTTGGGCAGCAGGTGAACGCTGTGTCTTCAAAGCTGCTGTGTTAGAAGCAGGAAAAAAACCCAAGCGTGAAGATTTGAGCGGCTTTGACAAGAGCCAAACTGTGATGCCTAGACGACTGGGTCAGAGCGTCTCCAAACTGGTCTGCAGGGGTCAGCACCTATCAGAAGTGGTCCAGGGAAGGAAAAGGGGTGAACCGGTGACAGGGTCGTGGGTGGCCAAGGCTCACTGATGTAAATGAAGAGTGACGGCTGGCCTGTGTGGTCCGATCCAACAGATGAGCTACTATACGTCAAAATGCTAAAGAAAAGTTGATGCTGGTTCTGATAAAAAGGTGTCAGAACACACAGACCACACAGTGGAGTCCCTGCCTCGATGATTCAGAGCTGTTTTGGCTGCAAAAGGTAGACCTACATTAAGACCAGCAGGTGGTCCTAATGTTATGGCTGATCGGTAACGTCTACCTTCATAAAGCCTCAGGATCCCTGTCATGTTTTTGCAGAATTCACATCCACTCGGACCAAAGTTAAGCTAATATTCCTGACATTTTATCATCTTACCTAAATCACAACCTTTCCTTTAGTAGTAAATTTAATCACTTAACTATAGTCTTGTTATGTCTAGCAGCAAATGCCTTGACATTAGCCTTGTTTTTACAAAGTTAGCAGCTAATATTTGTAACACCGAATTACTTTACTTTAAATACTTTACAGTTTACGATGGGTTTTTATTGCATGTGGGAAATTCGATGCACAGGTCGGTTAGTGATGTCTCAATTAAGCAGACACTCTGTGCCCATGAGAAGTCATCTATGAGGAAATTCATAAAGTATCATGACTTAAATGAACGTATGTTTTGGTTTAAGATGAGACAGAAACACACTTGCTTTGGTTTTCTGGTTCTTTTTCTGCTGAAATAACTAACGCAGAGTTAATTTTCAGTTTAGTTCCTTTCATGTTCTCCCTGGATTTGTCTTCTTATTTAGCGACATTCTGTACTTGATTCTGTCCATGGTGGGGACACTACTCCGGGATTATCTTTTTAATGAATGAATCTTGGATCGGGATGGATGTTTTCTTACAGTGTGGTCGTTTGGGGGATGAGTAATTGCTGAATGTGTTCGACTGAAGCCAGCAGCTGCTTCTGCCCCTGAATACCCTCCATCCACCCCACCACCTCCACTCTATAACTCTATATTTACTCCGGGGCAGCGTTCCTGAGTCCCCGCCCCTTGTAGAAATGTACGACACACACACACACACACGCGCGCGTTGGTTTAGTTTCTCATGAAGAGGAGATGACCTCTGCTCCGGTCAGGCTTCTCCTGAGGAGCGGTTTTTAATTAGAGCGGAGCTGCAAATAATGATTTAGCCCCTCCTCTCTGATGGGTGGGGACTGATAGTGACGACGTGGCTGGAGACCAACTGTCCCCAACCTCATCTGTCCTTATTTGCAAACTACAAAGTCCCAAAGATTTTTAGCAGTCCATATACTGTCGTCAATTAACTTAAAACTGCAAGATAAAAAATGTTTCAGCATCATATCTACAGAAGCTGATTGAACAGAGGCTCGCCCGGACGTCACGTCATGACTTCATCACTCTATATGTGCAGCTATCCGACGCTTCTCCTGAAACGTCTGCAACATCCCAGCTGTTTACAAACTGTGTGGAGGGGACAAGGACAAATGCTGTAAATGTAAATCAACAATATTAACAGGATGGTACAAATTCAGTATTTATAGGGACCTCAAAGCTGCTAAAAGCTGGAGTGCAGGGCTTTAAATGAACGTTCGTTGGCGTCCTCGCCAAATGACTTCACACAATGCTGATTAAGCATTTTACCTCCAGGTAAATCTCTCTGTATTTTGCTGTATACCAGAGTTTTATGTCAACCAGCAGTGACTGGTTTGCCAGAGCAGAAGGGGGAGCGACCAAGAGCCCTGTTTATTGACTGTATAGCTGGTGCTAATATGCTTTTGCTTGTGTTGTATTGTTTGCAGTCATGACAATAAAGCCACTTGAATTGAAATTCAAGCAGCTAGCAGTGTCTAAGAAGCATCCATGAAAAGGTTTTGATGCTCCAGACTAGGGTTGGGTGATGTCTACAATGAAACATCGTGATGGACGATGGCGTCGTCCTACTCCAGATAAAAAAAACGGATAACCATTGGTGTAGCTTTTTCTCGTTGGAGAGGGACTGGTGGTAGGTTGATATCTGTAAAATATTTGGAGTAGGCTCTGTAGCTGTTACATTTACTTGAACGCCCTTGAACGCCCAGAGCTCGTTGACTGTGTAATTACTCTCACTGCCAGAAAGGGGAAACAAAAGTTCCACACTGCAGGTTTAACTTCACAAGCTTAAAAAAGCTTTTCTCACCTATCAGACTGCGTAAAATTTACAGTTCACATGTGCCTTTTTCTGGTTGGGCTGGTACCCGTCTAGTGTAAGAGATAGATTTCTTGTAAACAGTTCAGTGTCAACATTGGCAGATGGTGAGTAACCTCCTGCATAATGTTTACTATTTAGTATGGAATTAGGTCTCAGTAGAACAAAAACAAAAGAAAAGTATTTTGTATGCGTGGATGGAAGCGTCTCCTGTGACTGATCACACAGGTCATCTCAATAATTTGTATTTCTGCATGCACAACACACACACACACACACACACACACACAGTTTTTTTTAAACAAAACATCATTAATCCGTCACAGGAAGCGGAACACACTCTAAAAAGAGAGCAGTGTCAGGAGAAGAAACAGTCAAACACAAATCAAAGACAAACCTCACAGGACAAAAAACAGATAACAAGGAACGTTTCACTCAAATGACACATCGGCACCCTGCTGTACATTAAAAAAACATTTCCTTTTTTATTTTGGCAGAGACCAAAAATAGCCTCTCACGGTCTACATGCAGAATATTAACATGTCAAACACATTCTAGTCACATTTAGAGAAGTCACGGCTGCGATGATCGACAACAAGTATAGGAGCATGTTGCGAGGTGGGGGGCGGGGTGGGGGGGCTGACCTACGACCTGCAGACTCAGACTAAGACGTTACAGAAAAACTCCCGTGATGGAAAACAAAACATTCTGAAGACACAGAGAAGACAAACCTCCCTGAACTCAGCACAACCTCCGCTTCAGTTCCCCCTCCGCAGATTAACACAGAGGAAGAAGCGCAGGTAGAAAGAGGAAGTCAGCCTACTGAATCGAGTAAGGTCAAGGACACGTTTCCTTTGCTAACCATGCACAAGAAAATATAAATGATTATTGAATCCATTATTATGGCCATAAGACAGATTGTTCTCTGGGGATTAAAATATATTTTGTAAGTAATGTTTTCTTAATTATTATTGTTTTCACATTCTGTGAGCTAAAACTAAGTTTAGCTTGCCCTTATTAGCGGTAGGCTAATATCACTAGCTCATGTTTGATACTAGCCAGCAGTAGGCTAGCTTTTGTGACTGCTTGTGGGGCCAGCTGGTAAAATACTCTGGAGCTAACAGGTTATAGTTTGGTCATAGATCGAACGATAAGTTAATGGGATAATTTAAGAGTTATTTGTACCATCGAGGAGGCTTATATAAAACTAGATGGTGCTATTGGGTCTGAGCGACTTCAGCCACCTGACTGGGCAGCTATCCATTACCATAAACTAATTAAACAATCAAATGTAGCTTCAGCTGAAGTCCTTCGCTCGCTTTAAATTCTTCCCTTCTTCCCTTCTTTCTTTTCGCAGTCTCAGTTTTAGTTGTCAATATTCTATAACTATAAGTTGGAGTAAATGGCAGTGGAGTTAATGCATAGTTAATTGCCCTCGGAGCTCCTGATTTAGAAAATACCACTTGTGTTCACGTCATTCAGAAGTTTGTTTGGTGAATGTTCACATTGTTGGAACAAATCAGCTATGAGCAAGTAGATTTTGTTATGTTATTGTAAATATAACTGACGATACTGATAAACATCTCTGTGGAAACACCTCGACATTTACGGATATTCAGCTTGTACATAAAGAATATGTGAACAAGGGCGATTTCTTTCACCTCCTGAACATCAACAAATACACGACTGCGTCATACGTAGGAAGTTTAAGGATCATTCAAACAAAATGATTAGAGCTGTTATCGCTGGACGCTACTAGGAGAAGTTTATCTTGATTTACATTACAAAGACTGGTCTGCTGTAAAGCAGAAAGTCAAATGTGTAAAAAGTGTGAAAACGCTCATCAGAAGAAACAAAGATTTCAGTTTGAGGCCTCATCCACACTACTCCATTTTTGTTTAAAAACTGAGTTTTAAAACGAACACGATCTCCGTCCACAGCAGCGTTTTCGCTGTGTATCAGAGTTGATCTCCGTCTACATTAAAACGACTGAAAACGACATCTAGTGGCTGTTCATGTACACTAGGCGTGCGCGTGCCGGTGTAAACATGAAGCGTCTCCGTAGTTACAGAAGATTTGACGAAAGAATAAAGAAATACAATCGTTGCAAAGTAAATATGGCGACATGCACAAAGTGTAGGCAGATAAGTGGTATTTGTACAGTACAGAATGTACCAAATCGTGTTTCTGCTTTGCATGACTTCTAAGACCCAATCAGAGAGCGTCTGCGTCATCGTTTCTAAAGTCCTCTGTTTTTGCCCGTCCGCACTAAAACGCTGGCCGGAATTTTTAAACAAACAACGGGGTCGGCAGCGGTTTCAAAATCTTCGTTTTCGCCGTTTTAGTCTGGACGGGAGGTGCTAATGTAACAAAGGTCTGTGTTTTAAAACCAAAACGCAGTAGTGTGCATGGGGCCTGAGAGTGTTGAGGGGGGACGGAAGTGGAGTTTATGCTCAAGAGCAAGATTTAAAGATTCTGACAATTAGAAATTAAATGATGAGACTTCTTCTACAAGTAAAGTTCTGCCTTTTTGTGCGTTTTATAACAGGTTGAACTCAGGGACACAAGGGGACAACACAGGAAAAGCATTGTCATTCACTGGATGTAAAGTTCCTGTCCACATACTCTTAGGATTGATTGATGTCTAGTGTTATGGTTGTTATTTACCTTTCTACACACAGTACATGTCTTCGTAACATTAATACGCTAAGAGACTTTAATGACTGACTAATATCTGGAGGAACTGTATCTGATCACATGTAAATACCAGAAGAAAATGGGATCTTTAAGGAACATTAGAACTGTAAAGTCTGAATATTGCCTATGGGATTATTGTAGTTTTTTTTTGTATGGGATCCCCTGTGCTTGGAAAGTCTCGCTGAGGAGCAAATGCAAAAACTAAAACAAATGACAGAATTATTCTCTCACATTCAAAAGAAAAGCCTTGATTACAGCAATCTGAGCAACCAAGACTTACATAAAAAATATCATTTAGAGTTGACCTCCGTGCGCAGTCAAGTCCTTCAATCCCCCGAAACAGCCGACACACTTCCTTTACAATCCTCTGAATTCAGATTTTGCTCGGGCGAAGATGCAAAAAACATTCCTGCCTCTGAGCGTCAAAATCACCACGAATCTGTTCCTCGTCAAAGCTGAAGTGGTTTCAGGGGAACTCAGTGTTTCCCACCAAGTGTTTTCTTTTGTTATTTCTGGTGCGGGTAAAGACATAACACATTCCTTTCTTTAACACCGACTAAAACCTTCCCCCGCCATGTTCTCCGGGATTTCCGTCTCCATCGGATCTCTGCGGCTCAGAGATGGAGGCGGCGTCGAGGCCGTCGGCTCTTCTTTTACAAAGATAAAACTACACCACAGTACACAGTTTTCACAAGTCATGCGAATATACAGCAACTAGAATTTTAGAAACCAACGTTTAAAATAAAAGTTAACATAAAAAGTAAAAACTACTTTAAAGAAAATAATAATAATAATAATAATAATAAATTATTAGCTTGTTTGAACACAGTGAAGTCTTTACATGGACTTTCATACCAAAGAATAAGTGTAAACATACAGTATCTATATCACTGGCTGCCCCCACTCACCTCCTACAAAAACAGACTAATTAAAACTGCATTTGGTGATCAGCTGCACATTATTAGTAAAAGGTAAAACAGAAAGGGGCGTCGAAATAATCCTTTTCAATAAATATCACATTCCACAGGGGCGGCCATTACTCTGTTAGCAGTTTACCAAAAGGTACCGTATTTATAATGCATTAAACAAATCCTCTAATGAATCATTTTAAAGTAATTAAGACATCCGAACATGGTAACGATGTAAAGTGACAGCGAGTTTTGACGATTCGCCTCCTTGTTGTTGGTCTTGCGGCAAAGAAAGACAAATCCTGATCGTGCAAATGAATGTGCAACGATTCCATCCAGAAACAAAATAGAGAAATTAAGGCCCCTTAAATAAATATTCTCATTCTTCTTTTTTTACGGTTTCCCAGGAGAGAAAAAATAATAATTAATACTACACGTCTACCGTTAAAAAAATGGTATTCCCACGCCGTAAGAAAACACTTATCAAAAAGAACGCAGACAAACACGGCTATACCATCCTGGAGTTAGTGTCCGAGGAAAAGTGTCCCAGGTTTTGTTTTTGCCGGCGACCCCTGTTGTTTTTTGGACATTTCCTAAACAGACACAGAGAGAGAGAGAGAGAGAGAGAGAGAGAGAGGTGTATTCATTTCCATTGACACTAAAGATAAAATTTTCCCTTCAAGACTACAACCTGTAACTGTTATGTTAGTACAAAATTCACTCTTTCTGCAGACAGCCTTCCTAACGTGAATCGTCATCAGTCAATGTCCAAGAACCGTTCCCATTTGTTCCAAAAGAAAACTTTATTGGCTTATGTACCTGGCAAGCAATTTGTATATAACGCATCCATAAACCAAACTAGTGTCGACTGATCTGAGTTTTTCAACGGCCGATGCCGATATTTAGAGAGCAGAGCAGCAGATGGCCGACCGATTAATCAATCCATCACTAAGCCAAATCCACAGTTGTTTAAATTTCCGTTCTACAGTTATAAAGTTGCAGAGTCGGAAGAGCTGGTTCCGGATGTAAACATTTATTTATTTCCTCAAAGACGGTGTCAGATGACCGACAGGTGGAGCTGCTCCACAGCTTGGATGGATACGAATCTCCCCTGGTTAAATCATCAGAAAAGAAAATGAACATCTGTGTTGGAAAATATCTAGTTAAAAAAGTCTAAATGTACAAGACAAACTGTTCTCACTCCCAAGTCGTCACACATGGACACGTGGTTAAGACCTGTAGGCGTCTCTACTGCCAAATCTGCATTTGTTTTTCAAGTCAAGTCACGTAAGTAATGTTAATTTAAGCAAAACCACGATGTTTTCCTAAACCTAACTAAGTACTTTGGGTGCCTAAACCTAACCAAATTGCGACGTTTCACAACGTTAACTTTGAAAGTCTAACCGGACGTTGTATATTTATTGTTGGGAACACTACGGCGGAGCCCTGCACGTCAAAAAAGCGACGGTAAAGGGTAACCAGGGCATTTAAAAGCAACGCCAAGGGGTCTTGACCGAGTGTCCATATGTGGTGGTTGGAAGTGAGAATGTGTTGTTCAAGAAGCCTGTGGAGACAAGTCAACTACGATTCCCAAGGTGCATTTTGGTCCGATACTTCTGTTACATATGGAAGAATCATGAATGTTTTAATTCATTTACTCTTGAAATTCTGGTTAATTTAGAAAAACTGTGTTTAGAATTTCTCAATTTATGCATCTGAAAGGCTTCTTCTCCATCGCAGTCACAGCTGAGGCTCATGGGTATTGTAGTGTTTAGAGCTGTCCACCAAACTAATGGACAAAACCTTATTTCTCAGAAACAAATAATTTGAAATAATTCAGACTGGTGCTCGGAACATAAACCAATACGATCCAGGAGAGGATGTTTACAAACGTTTAGGAGATTTTTGTCCAGGGAATAAATGAACCATTTTAATTTCTTATTTATGGTCAACGTCGAACTCCCAAAGACGTGTGTTCAAACTCAACTGTGTATTGAAAAAGGATTCCTGGCGGAGGCGGAGGGATGCGTCCTGAAAATCACATGTAGGTGGAGCAGAGTGTCCACATTTAGTAGGGGATTTATTCATAACATGTTAATGACATGAGAGGCTTGTTTTTCTGTCAAACTGCTGCCAAACGCAAAGAGAGACTGATGTTTTATTTCCTCCTCAGAGCGATGGAGTAAAGTCTGCCTGCTGTCTCCGAGGAGAGAAACGAGGCCAAGTCAAAATCCTGTTTAATTCTCCTCCTTCAACTGTCGCCAGCAGCTCCATCCACACAGACCTCACACCTAAACTTCACGTGTGATGGAGGAACAATGACGCTGCGTTCACAGCCGGCATGTTTGTCTGAACTGTTTCTGTCTTTGTTTGTTTGAGACCAACAATAGTCAGTAAGAAACATCACTAAGAAAATGTGTCTCTAAAACCACAAAACAACTGAATAATAATCTAGTCTATAACAGATGGTACGCACAGATTATTAGATTATAATTAGATTCTGTTTTAGTTCACACCTTTTTAAGCACATTAGCAGCGGAGAACTTGCATCAAGCATTACATTATGTACCTGAAATGCTCCGCAAATTCTGTGTTTGTATGGCACTTTTCTAGTTTCTAGCATTTGTAATATTAGTAGTTCTTTCTTTGAAATGCAAAAATGATGCAATGTACTTGCTCTTGCAATAAAATATTGAAAGATCCATTTATCAACAAAAAGAATCTTAATGAGATTTTAATGAGATAATTAATAGATAAATTAATAAATAGTATTATATATTTAATGGGTTATCTGCATCACTTTTTAAATGAAAGAGTATATTAGAGGGGGTGTAAAAAAATTATAATCCATTAATTCTTATTTAAGTTAAGTGCATATTTGGGGGGAAACTTTGCTCTTTAATTGAAAAATGAAGGTCATTTAAAATATTTCTTTTTTACCCCTTAAAAAACCATTACACCCCCCCCCCAAGAAAACTCAAAATGTATAACAATCCATTTATTTATCCATTAATTTATCTTTAATTTGGGTAAACATACGAACAACAACAAATACCTGAATACTGAATCAAATATCGAGTTGCACCTGGAAATATTTCATCATTAATCCTCCTTACCTTGTGATGCACATCACCACGGCGACGATGATGGCGATCTGCACGGCGCCGATGATGGCGGCGATGAGGACGTAGTGCAGCTTCTGTCCACTGGGAACCACGTAGAGGATGTTGAAGTCCTGAGGCTCGTCACACTGAGAGCCTTTGTAGCCTGCGTCACACCTGGGACGCGCAAACACACACACATACACACGCAATTTGGTTAGGACTACTTGGTTAGGTTTAGGAAAAGATCATGGTTTGGTTTAAAATAAAGTTACTTATGTGACTTAACTTACTTTATTTAGGTTACGTAGCCTACGTAAGCTACGTAACCTAAATAAAAACATTCATTGCTGACTTTTTGTTTCACACAGAAAACGAGCAGCAGTCTCCAGGGTGAACCATTTCTGGTAGCAGATCTTTTACTTAAATTACAGTACTAATAACACGCGGTGAAAATACTCCACTCAAGTAAAAGTCCTGCGTTCAAAACCACTTAAGTAAAAGTGTGTATTATCAGAAAAATGTAAATAAGCTGTCAGATGAATTTAAAGAAAAATGTACAATATTTAGAAAATAGCATTAATTGGAAAATTCAAGTACCTCTAATTTGTACTTAAATACAGTACTTAAGTAAATGTAGTTACATTCCAGCAGCGAGTGGTAGCAGCACTATTATTATATATTATTATTAACATCAGCAGTAGCAACACTAGCAGCAGTAGTTCACAGACCTGCAGGTGGCCATGTTGTATTTGATTTCACATTTCCCGTGAACACAGAAGCCGGCGTAGCTGTCAGCGCAGGGGATCGGCATCCCGGCGTAGAAACCGTCACCGTGGTCCAGACCTGTGGTTTCTGAACAGGTCAAAGGGGAAACAAACAACAACAAATACACAACAAGATGAGAGGAGGGTCAGCTGGTGTCACGACTGCACATACTGGAGAGTCAGATCCTGTGCAGGTGAGCGCTGGGACGTCTGGATCATGGTTTCAGTTGGTCTAAGTCATTTTTACAGCCCCTGTTGTTTCTTTAAAATAGTCAAATAAGCACAATAAAACAGCTAAATACTATCCGCAAAAATATGACAGCAGCACAAGCGTGGGGCTAAGAGGTGAGGAAACAGAAAAGGAACTATTAGAGAGATGTAAATAAAATTAAAGAACGTAGAGTAATTACATTTAAAAGCTGTATACAACATTAAGTACATTACAATACCTTAGAGACTAATTAACTAATTATGCAAATACTGTATACAGTATGTTTATCTGTGTATGTCTACATATACGTGCAGAAGTGATTCATGGTCCAAGTGCAACAATATTAATGTGTATTACTATAAATAATAAATACAGTATACATAATATGTATTTAGATATATGGTGTTATATATCGTGTGTGCAATATAACTGTATATATACTACGCAATAACAAAAAACAAAGTAATATGAAATATGTTTAATGGAAAACAACAACAAGACAATGTAGTAATTTATAAAACAATAAAATTTTATAAATCAATCTAATACAGTGTTAGATTTACATTTACCACAAGTTCTTCTTCTACTCTTTATAGTAATAATATTGTGTAATAATAATGATGCTGCAGGCTGCCAACTTTTCAATGTAGTTTGGAGTGAGATTTGGTGGTCGGTTCATTTTAGGCCTTCTGTGTTATATCCCACCGCAGGGGTCGGGGTCATCACTCTTTAATCCTGCATGCCACAGCCACATGCGTGTGTAGATGAAAAGCCAAGTCACTGATCATGGTCAGATCAGTGTGATCAGGAACCTTACCAACCTCCAGACATGACAGCCTTAACCAAAACCATGTCTTTTCCCCAGAATCTATGTGTCAAAACCAGAGACTGTATTTCTTTCTATTTAGTTCATAATAAGCAAGAGTGTAAGTTTTCCTTTGGAGGAGCCACTTTATAGGTGGGGTCTGGGGCTCCTCCCCCAGCAAACTTTTAGCATCAAACACTTAATTTCTGCATTCTGGTGAATTTTTCTGCATCAGTTTATGGTGGAAATGTTTTTATCTAGGCTATGTCAACGGAAACACAAAACTATGACAATTTAAACTATAAAATATACCAGGATATAATTCAGTAGGTGAATGGCTTTCAAGCATTCTGTAGGCCTATTTATTTTTCTTTCATGATTTAGTCCTCCCTCTTCTTTGTGTCTTTGTTTGGGGAAGTTCCTCTTTAAATGCGGCACCCTTTCACCTAAAGGATAAATTCATTCATTTCAATTGCATTAGAAACTGCTGGACTGAATGTTCAAAACTTCTGTGTAATCTGATATCTCCAGAAAGATTTTTATGAGAACAACGTCATCATTTAATCACAATTAGTTGTTAATTTAATCACACATTTTTCTAAATCTCCCCGCCCTATAATCTGCTGTTCATTACTGGCTCTGCTGATATGATTGAATCCCAGACAGACAGACACAGAACCCGTTTGGGACTTTATACACCTGTGCAAAACCAAACTAACTGAAAACACTTCACAAATCCTCACGTTAACTTCAGCAGCTCTGTGCAGTTCACATTCCCACCAGAGCAAGGCGGCATTAGGCATTAGTTTTTCCATTGCGTTTGAAAATTGATGTATGGCGTGAGGGCGTGTGAAAAGTGTCGATTGTGTGAGTCTCACGCTCAATGCGTGAGAGTTGGCAGCTCTGGCATACTGTTATTGTTTTTATGTGCACAGGTCGGCCAAACAGTAACCTGCGATTATTACAGTATAGTTGAAATCAACACTACAATCTCAATAAGAATATTGATATATAAAGACATATAGTAAGTGCATGACATCATCATTATCACAAGATAAATTAACATTATTCAAACTGTCATTCTGTGTGTCTGCGCTGTGAGCAGATAAATCATAAAATACAGAACACTCTGCACATTAAGGGATTCTTCAATCACGCACAGCTTCACTATAATTCACTGCGGCAATAAAGAAACAGCTTACAAAGCAATCTGTACTGCTCATTAAAAAGACTGATGTGCCAAATGAACCAAATTCACACCAACACTAAGAAAGCCTTTAATAACAAACCCTGCGAGTGGGAGTTTAAAGTTCACTGTTTGGCACATTTACGACGCCAGAACTGACAGGACGTTTGAGATTTACAAGCCTCAAAAAAAACAAGAAGTGTTTTTTAATCAAACCTTTTAAATTCATCAGGAGCATTATGAGTCACACTAATTTTCCAACATGCAGGATCTCATGAGGGTTTTATCTGTTGACTGAGGATTATTTCAGCTGTTGTTGTAGCAGCTGAAGCATTAACTTGTCGTCTTTTACTTTCCAGCACAAAGAGGATAAACACTAACATGATACCTTTGCTGCTGAAAGAGAGATGCTGTAATTACAGATTCAACAAATGTGTCATTTTAACATCCTGGGAGGGTTTCCAACACTTTCCTACAAACCTCCCTGAGAGGAGCTCAGAGAAAGAAAAGAATTAATGACCATAATTAGCTCGAGAGCCCATATTTAGCTGCCCCCCTCCACCCCCCCGAGAAAGAGAGATGATTACAAGGGTGACACAGAACTGATCACTGAGCAGCAAACGATGAGGGGAAATCCAGCAGCATCTCCTCCACATGGTTTGTTTTCTTTATCAAAGCTGACGTTTGTGGTGATTTTGTTCTTTTCACTCTGACATTTATATGATAAGCTTATCTTATCGGGGCATGTGTTTAACTATCCTACTGCCAAACTGTGTAGAGATTTTGGCAGAAATGTTAATTATTTTTGTTTTCTGGAGGTGAATAACGATTCTGCTCTTTACAAACTGTATCTGTCTCTTTTTTCCCCCACAGTCCCTTGTGTTTTGGGCTTGTTTCCATGAATGTGTTATAAAAACTGGATACCGAACTCCAAAATGGAGCCCATTAATTTTGGTGAATAAAGCTGCATCTCCGTACTCACACCTGCTGTTTTAACAGTGCGTTCACACAAATGCAGCTGGACACTTCTCACGCTCAATGGTCGCCATCTTGGCTACATAGTGGAAGCGGACGGACCACCAACGTATTTTTAGACTTGTAAAAATGGGGAATCTGCGGAGGTTGAGATTGTAAAAGTAAAAGTACGTTCATTTTTCTTTATTTCAAATAAAGCTGAATTGAAGTTAAGTGAGCAAACAAGGCAGTAGATATTTTGCCGGCTGCCTGGTTACAATTCGCCATTAAAAAGAAGAGGAATAAGAAGAAGTGGTCAAATAAGTGCAAGTGCAACACATCTGTATTTATATATATATGAACTCTACCCTGTAGAAATTTACAGTCTACTCAAGTACATAGTGTACACAGTGTACTGCATGTTAGTGTACTCACGGGAAGTACCCGAATTGAGACACAGCTTTAGTGTTTGCTTGCTTTGAGGTTTTCTAGGCTGATAAAGTTTAACAAATATAAAACCTCCATGAATTAGAAGTTCAGGATGCAAAGAGAAAATAATTTAGCTAGGTTGCCGCTGTTTGTGAATACGGACATCCATTTTATTAAAGTGAGCAATATTTTATAAATAAAAAAGACATTCTGAAACGTACAATAATAAAAAGAATATAAAAAAAAACAACAAAGATTGTGGGGTTTGCGCTGAGCAGGTAAGTTAAACAAATTGTTCAACATTATTAGGAAATACGCTTATTTGCTTTCTTGCTGAGAGGCAGACGTTCAGATTGATACCACTGTCATGTTTACAGGGTAAAAATGAAGCTACAAAAAATGCTACAGTTAGCTTAGCTTAGCATAAAGTCTGTGAAAAGGGGGAAACAGCTAGTCTGTCCAAAGGTAACAAAAAGCCACCTACCAGCTCCCTAAAGGCTCGTGTGGACTACACGACTTTCAGCATTGACCGATGACGCGTCCTTGACTAGTTCACACATAACGACTAGCGACCGCCGATCGATCGCCGATTTACCCCCGATCACAGCAAAACGGGCACCCAACTCTCCGACGGGCAAATCTGTCTTAAAATCGTGTAGTGTGAACTAGTCTTAACTAATTATCACGTTTTAACTTGTTTATGTACACAAGTTCAAAGAATGAAAAAAAACAATACGTTTTTTTTTTCCTTCTAGTTTAAAAAAAAAACTAATTTCAGCCTTTTTGAGTTCTTTTTTAAGCCACTGCTGTTGTATCCAGCGGTCCCCCTCTGTTTACCTTTTGTTCTCTGGTGTTTCCCCATCCTATTGACCCTCTCACACACCTGCACCTCGTTCACAATCAGCCACCAGTTATCTACCCCGGTCCAGTACACCAGTATTCACCAGATCGTCTGCGTATCTTCCATGGTACACACCTTGGCCAGCTCTGGTTGTGAGTTAGTGTCTCGCGATTATTATTGTTTGCTCTCCTCCACCTTCACAGAACCTGCCTGCCCACCTGCTTCGCCCAAACCGCCCCAGCTCACCATCTTGCCTGGATTCTTCATTCTGGACTCGGATCACTCTCCGCCCCAACAGATTGTTGACTATCTCATAAACTCCCTTTACTTGTAAATCGGTTGTTGGCTCTGTCGTGCTTTTGGGTCCAGTCCTCTCCCGTACACACCCATAACACCTACAACTGAAGATGACCATTTTCAACCTTTTTAACTGTGACCAGCTGTTCTCTACAATCTTTGGGGACCTTGAGTGAAATGTGTATTTCAGGAAAAGAAAGGGACAGAAAGTAGTTTTATTTATTGTTGAGTTTGAAAGATATATTCCCTTGAAGGACACGTCACCTCAGACAGCGGTTTAACTGATGAAGGCCACCGTCGTCATCTGGACGAACCAGAGGACAAAAACACTGAGTTCAGATAAACGGCTGTGAACATGGCGGCTGTGAACGCAGCCCTTTTCTCAGCTCTTGTGTCTCACATTATCAGAGTCATAAATGTGCTGCTGTGTCCTTCGCTGTTTGTGATGTTGACAATGCAGCGGTTTAATCCGATCCTCCTATTGTCTGTCTCTGAGTCCAAGTTAAAAGACAAAGTGAAGGAGCTGACAGAGCCGAGGAGGAATCATTCCCCCTGAGACGTTTTAGTCGCTGATAGCAATGCACAGAGCGAGCGGCAGATAATAAAACCCTCTGGATTCTGTTTCATCTCCTCTTTGATCTCCAAACTCAACACTTGCGTCGTGCAGCTGGGTGGGTATCGCCGCAAAACGTCCTCGTTCTGCTCCTTTAATCTGTGTGTTTACTTATGAGAAATTACAGCGTCACATCACGCTCGGGCTTAAAGAACTGTGTACGCACATTATGTTCAGCATCTAGGAGGACTGTGAATCCCCACCCCCTCCCCTGTGAGGACATTATTGTGTATTAAGGAGATTTTCATTAGGTTTTGTCCTGCGGTTATTGCTTCTCAGCAGGTTCAGATGCAGGTTAACAGGCTGCTGAAAGGCCACAGGAAGTTTTCCCATTAGCTGCATTAAAGGCAGGAGAGTGGATTTACAATGTGGTTATTATAATCTGAGCACAGTCTCAGAGGTCGTTAATGTGTTGAATTGTTTTATTTTTTAGCCATGCTAGCAGCGTAGCTCAGAGATGTCTGTCTGTTTGTCTACCACTTTTAACTAGACTAAAAACCTCTCAACAATATCGGAAGGATTGATATGAAATTTGGTCCAGACATCAGCGTTCCCCTCCGGTGATCCATTAACTTTTGATCTTTCGCCTTCAGAAGGTCACACGTTAATGTGTCCAGCACTTTGGCTTATGAACAAATACCTGCAGAACTAATGAAATTCCCATCAGCCTCAGCTGTACTAAGTGTTTACTGCTAATTAAACTAAGAGCATGGTGTAACTTTATACCTGTTAAACATCAGCATGTATGCTTGTCATTATGAGAATTTTGGCATGCTGACATGCTGTTAGCCTTTAGCTCAACGCATCACTGCACAGATTTGACTAATTTTAGAGTCAAATCCAGTCCACTTGAGGAATACCCTAATCAGAGATGGGGACTCGAGTTTGAGACTCGGACTTGAGTCGCACGTAAGTCGCACACACAGTGACTTCAGACTTGACTAGAGACCCGTCCTCAAAAGACTTCAAGCTCGACTCGGACTCGAGGAGCGGGACTCGTGAACAATGTTTATTTTTTAGGAAACATCTGATGAGCTCTCTGTTATTCCCCTCCTACCGTTACCTAAAACCTGCCTACATAACATGTAGTATCTGCTGCGTGTATATATATATATATATATATATATATCATTAACTTTGGCTTTAAAACTTCACACAACAAGACCCAAACAAAGAAGCGCTGAACGCAAAATAGGTTAGCATGTTTAGCTCAGCATTGGCCATCTACCGTTAGCTTGCTTCTTGCTTACGGCCTACCAGAGGTTAACTCCGACTGTCGTTCGTTATGAAAAGATAAAAGAGCGTTTGTTTACTTGCCAAACTTGTGGTGGTCACTTAATGTAATCATTTACGCCCCGCTGGCTGCCATCACGTCAATGATTAACGCTGGCTGCAAACAGGTTACAGGTTTATTGTTCATCATGTAGCTTTACACTTTTATTTAGTTAACGTTACACCGGTTTGAGAGTCTGCGGGGATGTGTTGACTTACAGTAGTTAATACGCTGTCATTAATTGCATTCCACATTACATGGTTGTGTTCTGTAAGTGAAAAACAGGCTACAGATACAGAATCTCTTATAGCGAAGCAGTTTTCTAAGCAGCCTGGATTGAACACAGTAGCTGATCTTCATTATAACCACGAGAGACTTGAGACTTGATTTGGACAGTTGCTCAGAGACTTGTGAGCATCTCTGACCACAATAAATTAAACCCCATTCTGTGTTTTCACTACTTGCGCCGGCTGTATTCCCACGAGCGACACAGCAAGCTAAACAATGCATGTTAGCATATCTGCTGCTCATGTGGGCCTGGCTGTGCTCACATACTGTCACTAAACAAGCTGCTATTTAAGTGACTGTTCATCATTTGTTTGCTTGTTGCTTTTAAGGGCATCATGTCGTCTTTGTTGCAGTATTGAATGACAGTTACACTATATTGTCATAACATTGTCATCAACACGTGCAGAATTAAACTTGCCATTGTCTTGCTGAAACAAGCAGGCGCGTCTCTGAAAAAGACGTTATGAATTACGACAACAGTGTCAAAACACGTTATAAAAACGGACACTTATGGATCTTGATTATAATTGGCTGAGCTGTGTTCGATGCCCTTGTAATATACTTTATAACCACACAGGTGAGAGTCTTGAGAGTGCAGCACAGTCTTACTGCGCCATCTAGTGTTTGTGTCTGTATCACATACAGAAACATTCTGCTGCAGTTGGATGAGCTGCTTGGCGGACTTATACTTCTAACTAGACTTTTGTTGCTGTGTTAATTTGTGGGGATCCTTGCCAGTTATGTTGTAACCATTTTAGGCTATAAAAGCAATTGTTTAATTTAAAAGGCACCAGAATACAGGAAATGGCATCCACTCCAGTAAAATGTTTTTTTCTTGGGGAGGACCCACCCACATTTTTTTTGCTTGTAATGCGCAGGTCAGAAATTTGCGTCGGCGGTCTACAGTTTGAGTTCCACGGTCCAATTTCCAACATGGCTGCTGTCAAACTAGTAACTAAAGTTGTGAGATAAATTTAGTGGAGTAAAAAGTAGATTTATATATAGCATATTTCCCTCTGAGATGCAGTATAAGTATAATTATAATAATATAATATAATATTACAAGAACCTCAAAATTGTTCTTAAGTGCAGCTCTTAAGTGGACGTACGGTTTAAGCAGGAATCACATGTGAACCGATTGTATCTTGCCGTCAATCGACGCATCTCCAGTCTTGCTCTTGGTGATTAAATAGAGTGGTAATCCATATATGATGTTTCTTGAACCGTCTGATGTCTTTATGGTGATGTTATCGTGTCCCCAGATTTCACTTATTAACTTGGTCAGAACAGTCTTATTAACATGACTCATAGAAATGATGGACAAAAGTACAGAAATAAGATTCCTTACCTAAGACGTTTACTTTGAAAGGACTGCTGTCGTCTTTCTTCCCCAGTTTCTCTTTATCAGCTGTGAAAGAAACAGATGGACACAGTCAGTCACACACAGTTACAGTTCCTCTAAATAAGTAAGTACAAACAACAAGGTGAAACTCCTTGAACAGATTTGAACCTTTTCATCCAGGCATCGCTTTTATTTTAAAATATATATATATTTTGGCTCAGTCTTAACTTCCTCGCCTGAACAACATCCTAGCTGCTGTCTGTTTATTGGCTGTGTGTGTGTGTGTGTGTGTGTGTTATTTACTCTTCAGACTAAAGCAAGTGGAGGATGTCGGAGGATGTTTACTCGACGTCTGAGTCTCGCTCTGTCAGAGACGAGGCGGCCAATCTGAACTGTGTGTGGGGGTGTGTGTGTGCGCGTGTGAGAGACAGCGGTGAGTGACGACAAACAAACAAACAAAGAAGGTTAGGTGTATTGTTGTGGTTATTTTCCTGTCGACAAGGCTTCATGTCTTCATGCTGTCTGCAGGAGGAGGAGCTGCTGGGAATGTTAAACAGAGCACGCACACACACACACACTGCTACACACACAGTGATACAACTGAAATACACAAAAAGACAAACACACACACACTCATCCATTTTTAATGCTTCATCATTCCTGAGGAAATATTGACAAATCTCTCTCTCTCATTCTCTCCATCTATCTCTCTCTACCCTTTCTTCTCTCCATGCCTGTTCTGTCCCTCATCCCTCCTCCCCCGCCGTTCCTCTTGCTCCCTTTATCTCCTCCTCCTCTTTCTTTCCTACGTCCTCCCTTTCGCTCCCTCTTATTTTCTCCCTCCCTCTTTCTGTCTTTGAGTTGCCAAAGAAAGCAGAATGGGGAAAACATTGCATGAGAAAGAAAACACAGATTACATAACAAGCTGTTGATGTAAGAAACCTATAAACCGTTGTCAATAAACATCATCTAGCTGTCAATCAAACTCTAATGTGGACCAAACAACCGCATCAGCACGCCTCACGATGTCCAGACAGAAAGATGAGGTCGTCCGAATGAATTTTTCCCAAGCACCTCCTTTCCGATGACTCCGACGCTCACGAGTCTTGTCATGTCTCTCAGCTAAGACTATCAACCACTGATTGGACACAGTGTCGTCTAAAAAACGGCATTGATCAGCTGATTATCAGCTGTTCAGAAAGAGATATCATAAGCGATGTATTTATGCAAATACATGAGCACCATGTCAGCACAGTTTTTGTATCATTCTCCACATTCTCACACAGTCCACTAACTTCAATATTTCGGTACAGGACACCACAGTTATTTCCAATGGAATAAGTACTTTTACTTAAGTACTGTGCAATTTTACTGTGTTTTTACTTTGCTTTCTACTTCTATTGTACCACATCACAGAGGGAACTATTGTACTTCTTACTGCACTACATTTATCTGACAGATGAAGTACTTTTTGGATTAAACTTCTGCATAAATTCACATATGTTGAGACTAGAATTGATCTGGGGATGTTGAATATCTGCAGCAAACTTCATGTCAATCCATCAAACAGCTGTCAAGACAGTTTCCCTCTGGCTAAAACACAGATCACGCTAATATTCAGCAGCTGATAAAGCATGTGTGGGTGAATATTTAATCCTGGTAAAGCATCAAAGACTACAGATAACTGAACTTAAAACCAATTTTATCGTTCTGAAACAATAAAAATCCCTGAACAGTTTGTTCCTTCAACTCTATCGTCTGAATTTGGTTTGTGGTGTGTGGTGAATCAAAGTGTTGGCCCGACGGCCTGAGGAGACAGCAGATCAGCAGAGAGGGCAGGTGCTCTTCACCTCAGGGTGCTAGACACCCACATATCCCCCCTCCAGCCACCATCTCCCTAAGCCAATCAGACGCTTGGTCACCAGCCACCCTAAAGCCATAACCACTGACAAGAAATCCATAAATCCTGCAGGGTTACCGTCTCCTGCCAACGCCCAAAGAGAGACAGCGGAGAGCGTGTCTCCTGCATCTCCTGTAAGACGACACATTGTGATTCAAGGTGAGTCTATCAACATAAATCAGACCTTAGAAGATGCACGGAGGATGTTCTGAGTCTGGAGGAGCTCTGGGTGTTGGCACAGACTCTGAAAAACATCACAGCAAACTGTGACTGCAAATGAGGTTTGAAACTAACACCCCCCCCTCCTCTGAGAGAAAAAAAATCATTCAGTAGATCAGAAGAAATAACAGGGCTCATCTCAGATGTGTTTTTATCCACCTCGTTAAAGCCACTGTGGATATCAAGATTGAAACATGGTGTTGAATACATGAGAATGTCTGTGCTATTGCTCTTGCAAACACCGATGGAGAATTATAATCACACTACCTGCAAACTGTTTACATGTTTTTGGTCATGTCCCAAGATGGTGCATGGCCAAACATTTCACTAAATTCACTAAAACTACTAGGTAGCGTTGGGTATTGAGAACCGGTTCCAAGTTGGAACAGTTACCAAATTTCCAAGAAACGTGGATTCATTAAGTCCTGTGCATTTGGATTCTGCATCTCGATCCCTAACTCTGCATATTTCATCTCCTGACTGAACTGCAGTGAGCATTTTACAGTCCATAAAAGTGTCTCTTATCTGCCAGCACCTGCTACGCCGACCACCTCATTTGTTAAGAATTACATCAACAAAGCATGAAGAAGAGAGTCCTTCTGTTTCCAGTCCTGGACCATGGCGGACCGCAGCAAACGCTCCAAAGTAAGGAGGTTTGGTGCGAGGGAGGAAGCGGCTCCAACATGACGAAGCGTTTACTTCAACACGGCGTGAATCTGAAGGAACGCGCTGAGCTGACGTTCACCTTTTATACTGAAGGGAAACCAATGATGTCTACAAATGAGTCAATATATATTTTTCTTAGAGACGAGTCCCCAGAAACGCCCCTCTAGTACAGAGACTCCTTTTAAGGATTATTATTTTACTTTAGCCATGAAGGTGAAGACGAGCAAGGAGGAAGAGGAGGAAGGTCACCGAGCGCTGATAACATCTGTAGTGAAGGGTTTGGAACTAGAACCGAGATTCTATAAGAACCAGATTCAATTAGTAGAACCGGTATGAGAAAAGGAATCTATAAAATTAAAACGAAAGTTTTTACTCCCTTACAGACAAACAATGAGGAGTGTTACATGTAGAGTATCACTAATTAATGTCTATAAGATTCATAATCATGTTGTATTTTTAGTTAAACTAAACAGACAAACAACAATAAGACTCTTTTTTTCTGCTTCTCATCCAGATCAGTTCTTTACTGATTACCTGCTGACGTTATAATTTGCAAATTATGTATATTTTCCAGCAGCAAACAGCAGCTCATTGCACACCTGGTAATAAAATATCATTTATATTTAAGACATTTATGACAGTTGAACACCCTTGTTTTCAGACAATCCATCACAGGCTTCATTCTAGTCTGTTTCTTTTAGGTAATATTAAGTGGTCATCGACAAACTGGTCTTGTTTCTTTTTAGCTACCTCAAAGTGTTCCCAGATCAGCGATTAATTACAGTATTATTACATAGATCAGATATAAGATTGAGTCTTAAATAAACTGCAATTATCCTTTAATACAGGTCAATATGTGTTAACTGCATTTACTCAAGTATGGCACTTCAGTACAGCTACTTTCTTCCACTTCACTAGATATTACAAATACAAATGTACTTTTTACTCCACTGCTTTCATTTGATAAATGTAGTTACTTTGCAGATTCAGATTTGTAAAACAATTTAATCAACAAAACAATGATGATGTATTATTATAGTTTAAGATAAGGCTATTGATGTCTGTGGGGATTTTTACAAATTACGCAGCAGTCATTAAAATGAGTATCTACCAGCTACAGGCATCAATAATTATTGAGTATAAGTATTGAATTGGCAGACATATACTGAACAAAATTATCAACGCAACACTTTTGTTTTTGCCCCCATTCATCATGAGCTGAACTCAAAGATCTGAGACTTTCTCTGTGTACACAAAAGGCCTATTTCTCTCAAATATTGTTCACAAATCTGTCAAAATCTGTGTTAGTGATGCTGATCAGAGAGCATGGCTATTGCACTTGTATGCCTCAGGCTGGCCACAATAAAAGGCCTCAGGCTGGCCACAATAAAAGGCCACTCCAAAATGTGCAGTTCATTCACACAGCACAAAGCCACAGATGTCACAAGTTTTGAGGGAGCGTGCAGTTGGCATGCTGACTGCAGGAATGTCCACCAGAGCTGTTGCCTGTGAACTGAATGTTCATTTCTCTACCATAAGCCATCTCCAAAAGCGTTTCAGAGAATTTGGCGGTACATCTAACCGGTCTCACAACCACAGACCATGTGTAACCACACCAGCCCAGGACTTCCACATCCAGCATCTTCACCTCCAAGATCGTCTGAGACCAGCCACCCGGACAGCTGCAGCAACAATCTGTTTGCATAACCAAAGAATTTCTTCTCAAACTGTCAGGAACCGTCTCAGGGAAGCTCATCTGCATGCTCGTCGTCCTCATCGGGGTCTCAACCTGACTGCAACTTCGCACAGCCATTGAAGAGGAGTGGACCAACACTCCACAGGCCACAATCAACAACCTGATCAACTCTATGCAAAGGAGATGAGTTGCACTGCGTGAGGTAAATGGTGGTCACATCACATACTGACTGGTTTCCCCCCCCTTTTATTGTGGCCAGCCTAAGGCACACCAGTGCAATACCCGAGCAGAGCAGAACCATCTGCCTGCGGTCCAGGCTGGGGCCAGTTGTTTTGTCAGAGGGGCCCATTCAATCTGGGACAAAAGAGACAAAGTTCAAGCTTTCAAAATGTCTTTTTAGTATATAATGTAATGTTTTAGTTAGGTCTGTCAAATGATTCATTTTTTCTTAATCGCTGAATTTCAATAGTTAATCACAATTAATCGCATGTTTTATCACATGATTAAAATTCTATTATTATTATTATTATTATTATTATATACATCTTATCTGTTTTAAGTCTGTATTAACAATGATAACAATTA